TATGGTAGACGAATACGTAAACCAAGCGGAAGACTAGATGGTATACAGCGCATAATTATAAAAGATTAGCTTGTGTATTCACATTATGAGTGGTATTTACTCAATGTGGAAGCACTGAACTTTTTACGGTTTTTACTAGTCACGACGAAGGGTGTTCAAATATTCTACGATGGACTTGCTTGATTGTATTTGGTTCAGTTAATTAACCCACCATTATAATAGGGTGTATTGCTATGATTATAAAAGCCATACCGCCAATGATGAAGATCGAGTTTTTAAAAATATTTCTTTACTTAATTTGTCTTTTATTTTTAAAAAATTTCAGACAAAAATTTGATATCGTTTTTAAAATCACGACCTTCCTTTATTTAAAAACAGTTGACTAGAAATGCTTTTCTTTAGTACTTCTCAGAAACATACGTCGATACTTGTATTATCCCGTCGTCGATTGGACTGCATTGATCGGTCTTTCTATTGGCAGATGGGTTGATGTAAGGATGCCTCGATATCACCAATGTTTCAACTTTCTAGTAATGACGGATAATGGTTAGCAGCGGAATCTAGGATGTGTGGTCCATACTTTTTGAGACTTATAGGTTGGATGTACAAGAAATGGCTGTTGTGACTCGGTGGTCAAGTTGATAACACTCTGGCATTTGAAGCCATTGGTTGTAGGTTTGAAGTTTTAGTAGGAACAACATCGCTCACTGGGAGGCAGGTACATCAAGCTGACAAGCTGATACGCGTCCTGGAATCCAGGAGAAGTCCAGAAGATTCTACTGTTAGCCACTAACCATAATTATTAGATTCGGGGAAATCTTTAAATTTTTGAGTGAAATAAGATAGACAACGTGAATTCATCATAAGACAACCTTCCGCGAATTTACTGTCTTTATAATTGACATTAAACACACAATGTCTTAACGTGCATAAACTTTGGTGAAACTTTGGCGTTATCAATTCTTAACAGGTGAACTGTGCTCCACTTATTATTAGTTGAGTACACATATAATGGTAAAATAATACCTTATATAATAAAGTTATGGCTGATAATCGAATTAAATGAGTCTTTTACCGATTGTTCAGTTCCCACAATCACAATTTATTATTCGATATCATACAGAAGGAAGTGTTTTTTCCCTTATATCTAGATGACGAGTAAACTAATAAATTAATAAGTATTTGGATAATGTAGTTAGAAGACGAGTTTACATTTCGAACAGTCTGCTCACACTTGTTAAGACATTTTATATGAAAACTGGAGATAGAGTAAAGAAAAACATGACATATAGGTAATATAATATTAAAGGAGAATGATTAGATTTGAGTACAACCATGGTGATACGACAAGATAAACATTACCAGGGTGGGTTTAGCGTAAAGACAAAAATTTTTTGAACATATAAAGGGGGGCTTAGATTTTTATGTGGCTAGAGCTTCAACCAAACTTAACTAGAATAAACCCCCTGACAGTTCCTATACAAAATTGTAAAGACTGTTTTAATATCAACCCTATGACCTTTATCAATAACGAGTTTCACGATGGACGACTATGGTTGTCTGCCACCTAGGCATATCGATGTTTGTGAATCTAGATGCCTTTGCAGCCATTTTTGGTATATATTACACCACCCTCAAGTGGATAACTCGATTAGTACTCCCTGTGTATGTGACCACATAAATATGTAAACCTGTAAACACATTGGGATGTGACGCAATCGTTTATTCAGCATTGAGGTCTATGTTGCAACAGGTGTTTGGTCTTGTCAACATTTATAAGCTTAGCCGGATAGCACGGCAGAGCTTAACTTGCGTTTCAATATTACGCCATTAGAATCTCCTCTGTATAGTAACGCGATATAAATGCATTTCTTCGGAACAGACTAGGTTTCAACGTTGGCCGATTTTTGCAACGGTTTATGAACTTTAATGGATATCCGTTTGTCACTAGTTTTAAAATTTTGGGTCTTCTGTATAGATAGACTGAATTCTTTTGAATAGGCACACTGCTAAAACTCGCTTGTATTTAGTTGGGCAAAAGTCATGGAAACCAAATTTATTTACTTCACAAATTGTCAATTAATAACCATAGTTACGTCCAACTACTCATACAGAAGGCATTAAGTAGTATACTGAAAATATCTGACTAGCAAATGACTTGCTTGTACGAAAACGTTATAAAGATTGACTTTCATTCGTATGAGTAATATGAAAAGCATAATATATAGTGCGTATGCATGCGTAGGTGTGAGAATATATATGTTTATGTATATGTATGCACATATACGCAAACATTTATCTTCTCAATCATCGATATATATATTACTAAAATTGTTTATAATATAAGTAATAACAATGATAACAGTAATCAATCAAATAAGAAGATTAATTGGTTAAATAAGGACAAATCATCGATGCATACAAAACAAAAGCTTAGTGAATTTTCAACTCAACAAACATTAGATAACAAATATCAAGTGAATTCTATAAAATAAACTTTGAAATACTTCCATTCACCCGCAGAACACCGATAAAGTAATATCAGATAATTAATTACACTATAATACTTTACAGGAATGGTTTTTTCTTATAGTAACGAGTGAAGTACATATAACTATTGTAGGTTAGTTTCACTAAACTCAGTCGAGAAACAAAACCCAAATAAAGGTCTTTAGCACTAAAGAATGGTTGGTTTTATGAAAAGTCAACCACTGAATAGAAAAGCCTATCTATCCGAAGGTATTAAAAAAAACCAAAATGTATAGATTCAAATGAAGTGAAACGGCAGAGAGAGAGAGAGAGAGAGAGAGAGAAAGAGAGACAGACAGAGAGAGCACACTACCGATAAATCCATGACCACGGGAAAAAGAAATGAGAGATATAGAGAGACAAGTAGTTGTTTTTTCCCTTTCCAAAGTATTCAATGAATTATCGAAACCATTACACTTACGGAAGCAAATTCAAGCCGAAAATGAGCACAATGATTCACAGTTCAGAAATAATTATTTCTCAACCTCGAATAATTTGTGATGTAACATAACCACTGTTGATACAGTGAATGATAAATATCTTTCTCCTTTTTTATTTATCGGTTTCAAAGAAACTTTCTGATGAGTTTAAAGACGTTCATGTTTCGATCTTAAAGTATCTTAAGCAGGTCATCTAAGTATGGGTATTCACACACTATAAATTTTAACGAAATTTGTTTGAAATATTAAATGAAGGTCACTTCTGTATTTCTATTTAAAAACATTTTTTGTCACGAATCGTTACAAATTTGACTTCAAAACCGATCAATGATGAATGGATCTTGGTGAAATCATTCATATCTGTTGATGGCTTGGAAAAAGGGCTCAGTCATTTAAAGGTTTGCATATTTGCTAAACATTGCACAAGATTTATTATTGTTCTTATTATTATACGTTGGCTGACAACATCGGTATTTTCTCTGTTTGAACTAGCGTGACCAGTCTTAGTACAGAGATAAAATCTGCATATAGCAGTAATGTTGATGTCGTGACAAGAAGCAAATTTAGAGCAAAATACCGAAAAGGCATGTCTTAATTAAAGCAAACCTGGTGGAGAAAGATGTAAGGTTAATTCTACAGATTCTAATGAAAACAACAAGGATAACAATGGATGCAGGATAACACTGAATTCATTTTGATAGTGATGATGAATTGTAGCTAGCAGTGGAATACAAAATGCACGTTTTATTCTGCTCTGGACTCGTCAGCTGGCTGTAACTGCCTAACCACCGTCTACCCCGTCACACAATGTTGGCCGAAGTAGGTTCAGGCTGGAAAAAGGCTCGAGATGGTCAGACTAAAACATGATATCAGTGCATGAAGTACTTGACTGTTCGTTTGGGCCATGTAGGGCGATACAGACCAGCCGGTTGGGGTCCGAGGGACAAGAGGAACCAGTGGTTGGAGACTAGGTGATATAGCTCAGAACCGATGTCATTGGCGTGGATGCATACACCCGTTATCCTCATCTTAACCACCATACTTAATCCCATCATCTCATCCTTCCTTCCTCTCTTTTACTACTTTCTACTTCTATTTCCTTTGACCGATTTTTTCCCTTCTTCATCTGCCATTTTAATCCCTTGTTACCTGATATGCTGATATGAGATGTAGCAACTTGGACCGTTATGCAGTAATCTCTGCCTGGTCTTATGTTGATCTTGATGATGATGAACATGTAGCTCAGTGAGTGATGCTGTTCTCACCAAGATCTAAATCCAGAAACGATCGCTTCAAACACCAATGTGTTATCTACTACGTCACTGAGTCACGACCACGACTCCTTATGCGATGGGCATAGTTGTTATGTTATTGATTGTAATTTCCCATCGTTTATTCGACCAAAATAATCGGTCCATTTTGTTTTGCTAAGTTCTCACAAACAGCATGAAAACTGTAATATCATCATTACTCATCTGATTAAGTATAGGACAGAACAAATAGTACCATCAGAAGCTAACGTAGTACAATCAAACGAATACTATATGCTGTGTATTTTGAACTTTGCTTTCATCAGTAATCGCAGAGACACAAACTCACGTCAAATTCGCATCAGCAGTACTTAGTGATACAGGTTTGGATCTCTGACTGGACATTAGTTTTCTCTATGTTAAGGATATGCTTTGCTGACGAGTACTTAGAAATATGAAACCCAAGTAAGAAAAAACTTCTTATCGAATGAAGACAATCACATAATACTCTGGTTTCTTTGTACTTATTTTTATGGTTTTCAATTCTGTGCTGCTGTAGTGTTGCAAGTAAGATCAATGCAATTTTGTGCGAGGTTTTACATTGTTTTTTATTTGGCTTATTCATCTCTTAGCGTATAACAGTAAGAAGCAGGGTATGAAATAATCGAAGTGAATAATCTAAGGCACGTTATAACCAGCATCATTTACCGAAAGCTTCAAGGGTGATTTTCATTGATTAGAGAGAGAAACATTTTAAAAATGATTCATATAACTAACTTACAGGATATAGCAAATTTGACACAGCTAAATGACTTTTTGTAATTTTCTTACTTTTCTTTTTCTCTCTAGAAAGAAGCAGAATAAGACAGTTGAATTTATCAGCACAGATTATATAATACACAAGAATATGTTGAAGCGTTACAAATGAAATTACAGGCTTGAGATCCATATGATAAAGGAGGGGAACTAAAAGCTACTTTCAAGTTGATGTATTGATAAGCGCACACTTTATATGAAAGAGCTAAAGTTTATTTTATAAATGCAAAACCAGGAGCCAGATTCAAAATTATAACCCATATTGGTTAGAAATCAAATATGTTCAAAAAAGACATACTCCGGTGTGTGTATGAGAGAGAGATAGCAAATATAAAGAGAATACGTAGTTACAATCAAAGAAAACTGAGAAACTTTCATTAAATTTTACATTGCTTTTACGAAAGACAAAAGGTGAAACGATCACACGAAAGCAAAAATCCTGTTATCTTACTTAAACACGAAATATTGAGTAACAGAAGGAGAGGAAGGTTTGCAGAATAAAATCAACCGCTTTTATTTCTCAGCTTTCCATCATCTGTAGTCAGTCTAAATTTACACAGATTAACTGGTAGGCAGACGAATGATGTACTTCAATCGCTTGGCGGTAAAAGTAGAATGTACAGTAAAATTATCAATCAATTTTTCCATATACACGATACGGCATCAAGTTGAAGAGAAAGAGAGAACAATTGAGGAATACATCATTGATGTCAATGGATATAACTACAACAGTATTCAGCTACTATGATACATACTCTTTAGTAACATGAGTAGTAGTGAAGCACTAACACCATCCAGACAGAATTGGAGCAGTTGGCGTCAGTGCCCTGCGGCTTCATATGTCAACCAGTCATCTTAATGTGTTGTCTAACAGATAAAACATTTAAGCTGAATTTTAACATCTATCCTTCCTTCGATTCTTCAATGATACCGAGGTAGTATTTAATATCGCTGTTTCTTCATTTTACTCAAAACTTTTTGGAACAGACTTCTTTTGCGGTTGTTGACACAGTAGTGCTATGGTAGATGAAGTATTCACCAGATAAGATTTGCAAGTTGTTCATGCATTCTTCAACAAGTGGTTACCAGTAGTAGTTACCACGTAGTACAGACGATTCCATTTTAGTCTATTTATTAGATGTCACACAATGAAACAGTATCACTTACTGGATAACGTTTCGGACACAATTTATTCTCCATATTCAAATCAGGTAACTCCACAACTTTAAGACACAGTTTATACATTCCTAATTTTCTCTCCTTCTTTGTGATGCCAACGGTAGTAGAATTTTCCATATATCTAAGACAGGTGCAGAACCATTTCGATTGCATGTATTTAGTGTTGATTCGATAAACAAAGATTCAGTTATCAATCTCTCCCTCCACCCAACTAAGTTTTTAATGCTGTCACTCTATCCAACCTTACAGTGTGATTGCATGCAGGGCTATAGTCGACCTTTTCTCTAAATTTCTTACGCTATTAGGATTTACTAATCTTGATCTAGCTAAGCTTCTGTGCTCTGTTATTCTATTTTGACCTCTGTATTTAACCTCAAAATCATTGCAAGGGATTTGGTAAACCAGATTATTTTGCTGAATTGCACCAATAGGATCTTTTAACCCACAAATTTTTTTTCCGAGAGAGTTTGCTGGTTTAAATGCTAGTTTAATCCGAGCCTTATTGAGAATTCTTCGTAGTGCTTCTTAAGTGCCTTCCTTGAATACTAATACACCAGAGGCTTTGAACTGTCTCTCAACCCTGTCACCATTATTACTATTAGTAGTAGAGTTATTATTAATAACATCTATATTACTACTACTACTACTACTACACTGTATGACATATCTAATAAACAGACTAAAATGGAATTCCAATCTACCACAATGCCCCAAGTTTTACCCTTATACTAATACAAACGATGTTCAACTGTGAATTTATAAGCCAATGGAATAACTTTATGTACGAGAAACAAAGTAAAACAAATTGGAAAAATGCATTGTGAGAATACTTATAGTAATTGGAAGTCCCAAAGATTTTTAATTCCAACTGTTTTTTATCAAGGTATAATCAGGTATGCAGATGTCAACTAGTATAGATTGAATAGTATGAATTTTGAACTTTGCTTTCATAAGTAACCGGTTAAAGTGTCTCATTCATTTACTGACTATGGTGTGATGATTCTAAATAGACGCATAACCTTTGAACAATAATCTTAAACAAGTAATAACGATTTATTCACTTCCAATAATCTGCTAATATCTACTGGAATTCTGATTCTGTACTCGGCATGTCAAATATAGTTAGTGTAGTATAGCAATGATACTAGAAAGGAATAGCTATTTTGTGACTGACATTGGAATATTTATTCACTTAGGATGTGTTCTGAATGTCTGTTGAAGAGAATCACCGATTGGTTAGTAAGGTCTGCTATTATATATAACTGGACATTTAAATTCTGTAAGCTTTTAAAAATTATAAGGGATTCATTTTAAGGAAGCCAAAGTTATGAATACAGTAGTGTATTTTTCTTGTATATAGTTGAAAGATATCCCAGTTGACAGTACATAACACCAGAAACCTCAATGTATAATGATACAAAGTTATATATCGACTTTCGACAGGTGGGTCACTGATTCGAATTATGCTTCACCTACCGAGGTCTAGTCGGCTAGGTAGTATCATTAGCCCTCACAAGAATATACGTGGTTCTCGAATGGATCTCAATTTAATGTTTTACATAATGGTAACATTTTCTTTAATGATTAGTGCTTTAAAACAGTGAGTTGGTTACTTGTCAAGGTTGCAGAGAGGCATCACTTGAGGTGACTCATAGTTGATTGAGCATTCTTTAGAATCACATGAAAGCATATGGCATGAGGTCGGTTGAACTACGACGAGAAAGGTGGAAGCCCCTGAGTGGTTAGACAAACATGCGACAGAAAAATGACGCCAACTGCTTCAAGTGTGACTCTGATATGTAACCTTAAGATTTCTGAGTGAGATGTAAAGGATACATGAAACCGCTAGAAAAACACTCAAGGCAAAGATAAGGTAGTGTATAATAGGCAAATCAACGTAGCACCTCGTATAGAAGTCCATCGGTTTCAGTTGGAACAAAGTATACTCCACTGGTGTATGAAAGTATGCTTTGAAAACTAATGAATCAAAAATATTAGAATTCGTAGCATGAAAATTAAGCCGCAACAAAAGATTATGATATGATCGTGGTTGGTTATAAATCATATAATCGTTACGTAATGTCTATTCGTGACACTCTAAATATTAACTATGTCACGTATACTCTGACAGAAAACTTATTCCATTCAGTAAAACTCACTAGATACATATGAATTTTCACTCTGGACTATTAGTTACATCTAATATCTGAAAGTATCAAAACTTCTGCCAATCTATTACAACAGTAGTGTACTTAAGAAGGATGATACAAGTTTTACAGATGAAAACGATAACCAAATGCATCATACATTGAAATACCAGAACCTTGACACAAGTAGAACGCTTATAACTCAGCTATAGGTGACCCAGAATTCCCTATACCGCTTCATTTCTTGTAATAAAAAGGTGAAGCTCAATTGTGACAGTACTCCAGAACTCACTCGACAAAGAAACACAATATTTCCTGCTAAATGGTAAAAATGAGAACAAATATCAGTTTTTAATGACCAACGGAAATCACTCTTTATCTGATCTAAAGTTCACTGCCAACAATTAAAACTTTTCATCAAACCTATGATTGACCTGATCGAATTCTGAGCAAACACACTGTAAACACAACATTCGTCTAGTTATTAAATTCCCTTAATCCCTAACTGAAAAATGCAAGATAATCATAAAGGAAATTAACATGATATACTTACGAGGGTGCAAATAATGAATAACCAGCCGGGCGTGAAGTACCCTTCTTACGATAGCCACTGTCATCATCTGGAAATCATAAGAGTATGCAGTGCAAACTGAACACTTGATACAATAATCTAATGAATAGTTTGAAGGCATAACTATTATAGTTTGAAAGCAGAATATTTACAAATTTCTGTGACATAAATGACATTTAAAGAAAACCTGATCTCTGAAGCAAGTTAAATAAGAAGAGACATTATTATAGAACAAAAAATAGACAAAACTAGGGAAATTCTCACTAGTATATCACAGCAACAGTAACAACAAAATTGTGAGCATTTCGATGGAAAATTAGTTGTAGATCTAAATTAAGACAGATAAAATGTCTATACAATCACTTGATAAGTAGGCCAGATGAATTTTGAATATATATATATATATATAAACGGTTCCTTGATTTAACATGATTGTTTTTATATCATACCGTCGTTAATTAGGTCAAATTGATCGGTCTCTATTGGCATATGGGCTCCTGTGCGGATGCCTCGATATAACCTGTGTTCTAATTATATTAACGATGGACTGTGGCTAGCAGTGGAATCCAGGATGCTCATTTCGTCGTATTTGGGACTTGTCAGCTGGATGTACCTGCTTCCCAGTGAGTGTTGTCCCTACCGGGATTCGGACTCGGGAGCGATCGCTTCAAACGCCAGGGCGTTTTCTACAGACAAATAAGAACCACTTTGACACACAAGTTTCACTGGTACAACCCACCCTTTCACCCTAAAAACGTGCATTTAGACGAGTCAAACTTCAGAAAACGTAAGTCGTGTTCCAATATGAAGACTCATTTGATTAAACTGATGAGAGGAGTGAAACACTGTACCCGTAGAAAATTAACATCTGAAAGTTATTTCATGCAGAGGAAGTTAGTTCTATAAATACCTTAAGGATCTAACTTCAATAGTCAAAACATCTAAAGAGGAGCAAACACTAGATCTCAAAGCCATGGATTGCATGCAAAAGAAGTTATAAAAGAAATGAAGAAGTAATAGATTGATTCATGTGTGAGATATTCACAAGTATCTCTAGATACCGCGAAAGTGTTAATCCATGAAATTCATGAGTTTCAACTTGCAGAATAACAAAACTAGAGATCAGATGTCATATATGATGAAGCGTGAAACCAATGCCCCAGACCAATTTTTTTGAAATAAATAACATATCTACAGCTAGAAACATGATAATTTGATTATGAGTTTTACATCGAATTTACTCAAATAGCCCTGAAGTGTTCATCATGGAACATAATTTAGTGAGGAATTTATTAGTTCTATAGGAATGTTACTCTCAACTATGGTGCTATTGCAGTGCACATGCCTGTATTCTACCTTGCCTCCGGATGTTTAAGGTGTTTTAAGTTTTGTTTTATCGAGTATGGATCTGAGCAGGTTTTGAAATCATTTTTGCGCTCTGTTTGAGCAGGTTAACATGCACGTACTCAGAGTCCTAGCTCAGCCGTATTAGTCAGATAAGTTGGATATACTTCTTCCCTAATAATCTCTCAAAAATTTATCCTATTTAAATATATTGCTCTTTCAAATACATTCTTGTATAACAGTCTTTCTGATTTTTGTTCAGTTACCAATACTTACACGTTAGGTAAGGTACTGATACTGATTAGGCAGGTACTAGAACACATCAGGTGAGGTAGGGTTGGCTAAGCGTTACATAACAGTAACACATCCAGTCCCCTCCCACCATACAGGTCACATAAGTCGATTTCTGCCTTCAGTTTCAAAAGATAAAAGAATAGCTCTAGAAATAAAACACCTATAAATGCCACATTCCCTTCCACAAAGCTGTTCATGTTTTGTGTGAAAAGATTTGAAATACCTTTTAATAAATAAAAATAGGTCATGAGTTTGAACCTATGTATACCTAGAGAAGTTTGAGCAGTCATAATAGGTCTGACTTATTGCCCAGTGCATGAACATACACGTGATTGAGGCGTTACATTACAACATTTCATCATGATGCACAACTAATATCTTGCAATGCTGTTTTAAATTGACAAAACTTATGAAGCAAACAAAATCATTAATATAAGATTTGATATACTTCATTTACAAAATGAAGCACACATTCAATACAATTTATAAGACATCAGTTATAACCATGTTAAACAGTAGACTAACGGTAAGTTCACATGATGGTCTGACTTAGCTACCTTTTTAGATTCGCTGAATCATGCTCATTAGAATGTGGACTGTCCCGCGTTATTAGATATCATAGAAGTGTTTTTGGTAGCCAGTCAGTAACAGACTACTGTTTGCAGTTACTCGATTACGGAACACATTTACTTGTCAAACTCCCAAAGAAGAGAGACATGTGTTTGCAAGAACTAGGGAGGAATCACTCTCCTGTCCACCACAAGCAAAATATTAAGCCGCATCATCTTGCAGAGTCTAAAGGATGCTCGCAATTCAAAATTACGACCACAGCAGACTCGCTTTAGCACGAAAAAATCATGTGCGGATCAAAATGCTACGCTAGGCATCATCATAGAACAGAGCATAGCATAGCAGTCAACTGTACATGTACCTCAACTTCATCGGTTTTGAAAAGGCCTTCAACAGCGTCGACCGAGAAGTAATTTGGCAGGGAGCTGCTTCAACACTACGGTTTTAGTGCCACAAGCCAGGTGATTCACAGTGAAAAGCTCAGTGATGCCTTTGAAGTGAAGACAGGAGTAAGATAGGGTTGTCTACTAACACCTATGATCTGATTGTGGTGGACTGGATCATGCAGCAAAGAGTGAGGAGCTGTGAGAAATGAGACATACGCTGGACCGATGAAAAGATCCCAGAAGACGATTCGGATTTCGCCGACGATGATAATTTATGTCTAATGTCGCACAAACTCGAAGGTCTACAGGCGAAAACCAACAAGTTGACAGAATAGGCAGGGGAGCGAAGATGGACTTCGTGTGAACGTAGAGAAGACAGAGGTGATGATGATACCCAACCAACGCCACCACCAACAATAACAAACTCCAATCACCATCAACTGGAGAAACCTAAAGGAAGTAGTCTCTTTCACCTACCTTCCTAGGCAGCATCGTTGCAATTACAGGCGGTGGCACAGACCAGGATGTCAAAGCCAGCCAGGATCGAAAAAGCAAGACAAGCTTTCATTAACCTGAAACCAGTGTGGAGATCTTCTGCATTCAGCATAAATCGTGAACAAGATCCGGATTTTCAACACTAATTCAGTGAAGTCAGTGCTTCTGTGTGATGGTTCAGAAACTTGGCGTGTCACGAAAAGCATTTCCAACAAACTACAGACATTCATCAATAACATAATTCTTCTTACATCTTATCCCCCCTAAAATACAAGTCACGGCTTTTAGATTTGTAGATAGTTTCATTTCCCTATCAGTATCTCTACTTTTTTGAGAGAGAGACTGATATGTTCTCTCATTTTGTTGATATCAGGCGAAAAAGAAACAGCACTGTACTTTCCGAATGTTTTTTTTAAAAAGCCTGTTAACAAATGGATGAAACTGTAACTCAAGTAAAATGTGACATGATGTTTAATGCCCGAAACTGTTGAATAGGGTCAAAATGCAAGTACCAAGCAACAAATGGTACCCGTTGCACAAGAGGTGGCTCCGTGTCGCAGTGACCTGGTGAAGAACGCTTTGGTCTCAGTGGAAACAACATCGCTTAGTGAGGTCCAGGTACATTCAGCTGAGAAGTCTCAAATGGGACGAAACCCGTGTTCTGGATTCCAATGCTTATCACCAAGATGAATAAACTTACATGAATTCATCATATACCATCGTAGATACAAACTACCAAATAGAACTGGCTACTGACAGTTATAAACGGTTTTTCCTAATTCACTCAAAGACAGTTGAGTTGATTTCATTCGGAGTTGATGAACACATATACAAGTGCATATAATTAGAAGACAGTACCTACACAACCCTTTACCAACTAATAAGATAGAGACGGTACCTAGCCATAAGTACGCAGCTCGTCCAAGTCTGAAAACCGAATAACTGAAAATTGGATGTCATACTATACAACTGAAGTATGATAAAGTCAATAATTACTAAAAGCAAAGCATATGATTATTGCTTACTTGAGATACCATTTGTTTTCATTGGGATATTTTCATCACTATGCGATCGAGGTTTACCAACTCGAAATAATTGACGACCAAATGACCTACGGTAAAATTAAGTGAGACATTTCAAATATCAGCAAATAGGAAATGTAAAACGTATCTTGTTAAAATGATGACCAGACAGACAAAATAACACGTGAAAGGCTACACAGAAGGGCATCAGTTGGAATTGCTACAGTTCACAACATGGCAGAGAGAGGTAAAAGAAGAGGAAGAATGATGAGAAGGTGAAGAACACCATTGAAGTAAACAAAGGTACGTGAGGGGGGGGGAGAGATGAATACATGAAGGTTGATAAAATACTAGAAAATGATAAAGGCTGAATAAAGTTATGTTTTTGTAAATGATTTTTAACCCTGTTATCAAGGGGTCTCCAATCTTTTTTAACCCCAGCTGAACAGCCTATACCCCTGTAAGCACTTCAGACAAGTAGTTAAAAACGTGAAGAATCAGTGCCATCTTTTGTTTTGACCACTACCTACAGCTTTTTTCTAACCTGATCCTACCTAGACTAACATGCCGCGTTAAGATATGTAAGTCACAACTCGGTATATCAAATATATCAAGTTGTTATTCATCGAAGACTGACATCAGTTGGAGGAACAAAGGAAATCTGGGAGCACTGGACAGCTGTTTCGTCCTAGTATGGGACTCCTCAGCAGTGCGCACCCACGACCCCACCAGCAGGGATCGAACCCGCCACCTTCAGGTTCCACGACCAGCGAGTTACCATTGAGCCACTGGGTCAGAATCCAATGCTTCATATTTCCAACTTCTGTTAGCTCACGATATAGCGCGAACCGCCACCCAATGTCATCGTTGAGTATTTGTCCTCACGGCCATCAGGCTTTGACTCCACCGGTCACGACTTGTCATTGGAACTTCGAGAATACTTCTCGAAGCTAGTCACCAACGAGCACTAGTTCAATTAAATTTTGAGGGGGTTGTGGAGATTTGGAAATATTTCAAGTTGTTATTCATCGAAGACTGACATCAGTTGGAGGAACAAAGGAAACCTGGGAGCACTGGACAGCTGTTTCGTCCTAGTATGGGACTCCTCAGCAGTGCGCAGTCTGGAAATTTGTCAATTACGAATGGATGGTATTTTGACAAAATGTTTCATTAAGAAAGAAGTGTAAATTCCAGTCATAGGCAAGAATATTTATTTTGGTGGTCAATTCAACAATAAATCTCCCAGTATTAAATGTTTATTTCTTACTCTTAATTTCCTATAGCAGTAACTGAAGCCTGAAAATTAAATACACTAACGAATGATACCGATAAACAATTAATTAATGTGTTGAGATAGTTTTCTTAATCACTGATGAAAACCGAAACGAGAATAACTGTTCATTATTAGCTAAACACCTTCCGTCACAACCACATTATGCATGGTTCAACACGTACTTTAATCGATGAAAGTACCCTGATATAAGTTACTTCACTATATTGTATTTTGTTTTCAAAACGGTTTAGACTCAACATACAGAATGAGGTACTGTAGCAGTGGCTAGTAAGTCAACGAAGTCAATTTTCAACTGCAAGATAATGAATTTAAACTCCACTTTATCTGCCCAGTGGATGTTTTTCTCATTGGCTTGGGAAGTCGACTTTTAAGTGATGACCCTCAGATTTAAACTACATTCCACGTGCTTAGATTAGGGCAATCAGGTAGTATAATAAGCCCCTCCTTAACTAGTGTGCCTCTTAGCCTGGCACATAAACACTACCAGGTTGAGTTGCCAACCCTGGTCTAGGCCGTTAGATAGAATTACCAACCTTCATTGTCTACAACATGAACGTGCATATGCTGAGTTACGAAATCAAAAATTCACATAGAGAAACAGTTTTGATAAGTCACTTACCCTAAACCTGTACGTACTGTATTCAAGACACCAGTGTTTGGAGATGTTATCACTTTAAAGTATGATCATCATACACAGGATGTTCATTTGAGAAATGCGGATAGAAATGAGGTGCTGTAGGATGTGAAGTAAGCAAGTTTCTGTTTGATATACATGAAGTGGTCGACATTATTGGCCCTGTTAATTCATGTTTACATGAAAGTTGTGCTGTTGAAGAAAACTGAGATGATGGAATAGGTTGTAGATCCGAATTGTTACAATACTGACCACTGATAGAAAATTGTGTAGGCATAAACAAAGGATCAAAATTAGATGTTTTGTTCTCATGAATACTTTTAGCTGGTAGTGTATTTGCTTGTCTTGTCGGTTGTTTATATGAATCAATGTTTGGATTAGATATTCGAGCTGGTAATGTTTTAGCCAGTTGATGACTACGGCATACATCTGGTGCTGATGACAATGAAGTGACATTTTCATTAGGGCTACTACCGATACTACTACTACTACATGGGAAAAGTTGATGATTAGTATCTGATGAACTGGGAAGAGCTAAAAAGTATTCAAAACAAATTTTTAAAAAAAGAAATGTGTTTGTAATAAACCAAAAATGATATTAATCTACCTTAATTCAAACTTGTACGTCATACAGTAGATTTTTTTAACTTCCTTCTACTAAAGGAAACTGTCAGGACAAGCCTATCTATAATTAACAATTGTACATTTTGAACTGTTTTTCTTCGCTCTCTTTTTCTGCGCACGAGTCCCATTTCCGACAACTGGCAAGCGTTTTGATTGGCTCCTACCTCTTTAAATGTATTTATTATTGATTGTCTTCCAATTATTATAATTTGTCCCTTGTGTTCCTAGTGGAACATAGGGCTTCAGTAGCAAGTCTCCATTTCACTCTGTTCTCTGCAATCTTTTGATCCTGACTCCATGACTACCTAAAAGCTTTCATTTCTTTCTCACACTATCTCCTCCATATCACCCTCAGACGTTCATCTCGTCGTTTTCCATCTGGGTTCCAATTCATGGCCTGGCCTGGAGCGTGATGTCCCCAAATGGTCTTCTCAGCGTATGCCCAATCCATCTCCACTTCCTTCTGTATATTTGTTGGTCGATGAGTTCTTGGTTGGTTCGTTGCCATAGCTCCTTGTTGTTTATTCTTTCTGGCCATCTGAGCTTCAGTAGCGAGTCAGCGTAGGCAGCTGTTGATGAATGTCTGAAGTTTGTTGGAAATGCTTTTCGTGACACGCCAAGTTTCTGAACCATCACACAGAAGCACTGACTTCACTGAATTAGTGTTGAAAATCCGGATCTTGTTCACGATTTATGCTGAATGCAGAAGATCTCCACACTGGTTTCAGGTTAATGAAAGCTTGTCTTGCTTTTTCGATCCTGGCTGGCTTTGACATCCTGGTCTGTGCCACCGCCTGTAATTGCAACGATGCTGCCTAGGAAGGTAGGTGAAAGAGACTACTTCCTTTAGGTTTCTCCAGTTGATGGTGATTGGAGTTTGTTATTGTTGGTGGTGGCGTTGGTTGGGTATCATCATCACCTCTGTCTTCTCTACGTTCACACGAAGTCCCATCTTCGCTCCCCTGCCTATTCTGTCAACTTGTTGGTTTTCGCCTGTAGACCTTCGAGTTTGTGCGACATTAGACATAAATTATCATCGTCGGCGAAATCCGAATCGTCTTCTGGGATCTTTTCATCGGTCCAGCGTATGTCTATCTTCTCACAATTTATCAATTCGCATATTAACTTATATCTCGGTTTTCTCATCTCAAGCGTAACAACTTGAGCAATGTTAAACAGTAATGCCAAGTCCTATTCTGACAATTATGTCTGAATATACTAAGAATAAAACAAATGCCTTTTCACTTTCTAATTCACTCAGTGAAAATAAACACGTAACTAAGATGTTTTGTAAAGCATGAAACACAGTCATACGTGGGTGAGTGTATGTATGTGTTTAAATGTACCATTCGGCTATCAAAACAAATAAGAAACAGTAAATTCCAATTAGAATTCTTAATTTTCCCAATCAGACGAAATATTGTTACACAAGCTTCACTTTACGTATTAAACCGTACACAAAATTCCAATAATAAGCAATAATTAACTTTATTATTATTATTACTATCGCATGATGATTTCCAAGACAATGAATTCATCAATATTCTTCGTAGTAAAAATCAGTACATATGTATGTCTACATATGCTTACCTAACCAAGTCACATGAGAATAATGTCGAATTTTAGACATCAAGGTAAATATACATACTGGGACAACTTCCATCACAGGTTATCCATACCATAGCTGAATCATATAATAATAATAATAACAATAATAATGATAATAACAATGGTTATATTCAGTGTTTTTTAAAACAAATAGCACGGAACCGGTAATTTGTTCCATCCCAGGATCTACTGAAAGTATATGAAAGTAATACACCAGGGTTTCAAATACTAAATTTCACTGGGTCACATCTGATTCATGCTATTAATACTAACTGTTTCAGTTATCGCTTTAGATTTACTTACCATAAAGCCACAATTATATAGCTACTAAGTGATGATTGAAGGTGAAATGAATATTTGGACCATCGGCTTTCTGGTCTGCTTTACCAACTGACCTCGTAGCTCCGTTGGTAGAGAATCGGGTCGGAAACTTGAAGACCACTGGTTCAAATCCACCTGCGGTCGAAATTTTCATTTCACGTTTAATCATGACCCAGTAACAATACTAGTCTGCCAAAACCACGGCTAACTCAGATAGCTGTTTTAAAGTTCATTGGTTTTCAATGTTTGTTTAAATATACTTTATGAACCATGAATTGTATTTCAAACACTTAAATTGACTTCTTATATTGAATTTCACTAGAAAAGCACTATCCTAAATTATGATATAAAAATCATGACTTTTGTCACAGTGAATACACTCAAAGCATTATATGACACGTTGAGCATAAATGAAGACCTTCTGCGGGTGAAATTGTCGACTAGTGGAGTCAATACTAGTATTTGAGTCTGCTTGCACTGACAAGCGTGAACTCAAGTGTTAGTCATCAGTTCATCTCGATACTAATACACTGTGATTTTGAAAGATTGACTAATTGATCACAATTTTGAGTAAACACATTAATCATTTGTGTATAACGAAGATCTCTTTATTATCCCTCAATAATTTATGTAAATAACACACTGACTGGGTAGAAAAAGTAAACTCAATGACTAACTTACTTGTTTTTGGTTTTGAAGACGGTGATGCTGTTGCACAACTCGCACACGATTTGTGCCGAGAATTTATAAACTGTTTAACATAGTCCTTTGGAGAGACACCAAATGGAATTCCATAAATTTCTAATTTTCCAATAACATAACGTGTTGTTTGTAATTGTTCGTTTAATGCTTTCAATTGTTTCTTAAGTAGTTTTAACTTTTCACTATAGATACGCTTTATTTCACTTTCGGAAGAAGCTGACTGATCATGAGATGGTGATGAGGATGAAGAACATTCAGAGATTTCATTTTCAACTTTCGGAACTTCAGCCAATTGTAAAAACAATCGATCATTTAATTCTGAATAAGAAAAACCAAAAGTGATCTAATTTAGGTTGCGAATAGCTATTCACCAAACAAATACTAGATGATAATTCAAGGTGAAATGAAAATTAGAGAGGCGGAAGGACTCAAACCAGCGACCAGTACTCTACCAACTGACCTACAAGACCCGACTCCTGGCCAGGTTTTGGTTTTGCTTCAACCACAAAGAGTTTTGCTCGACTGCCATGTGAATACATGACGCGTTACTACCGCTAGATCGTATTCATACCGGTTGTCCAGTCAGGACCTTTCACCCCAGTGCAAATCTACTTGAATTAGCGAGGGTGAGCATCATATTGATTATCATCTAGACTATTTGAAGTAGCTGTGGTTTGGCAGACTAGTGTTGATACCGGATGATGATTCGGTATTAAGTTTTATCTATTGTGTAACGCTTCATAATACATTTCAGCTCCCAGACTCTTGTAAAGTACAAGGTGTAGGAATTTGTAACTAACTAGTCGCACACTTAATGGTCAAATCAATGAGTTACAAATCGACAAGATAATGAAACTTAAAGTATGATGCAATTTAGTCAGTTTGTATATTATTCATTTACATGGAAAACATCTGTGAGGTGATTAGTTAATTGACTGGTGTAACCCAGTGACGGAGTACAACTTCATTTATCAGATTATATGTGATGTGTAGACCGATATCAGAAAGCCGTCAGATCTCTACAAGGATCAAATAAACATGGCGATAACTATGCATTCGACACTTACCTACATACCATAAACAGTTAAAGACTTCACTGACTAGTATCATTTTCTACTTCGACTACTCTTAGCTTTCTTCCCAAAATAATCGTACTTTATCTAACACGACTAGTCGAAGAAGACGATTAGTACGTGTTTAATACATATCAATGCCGATAACAGTTCACAAACTCTCTGGTACTTTATACCTACCTTCAATGTTTAGTGATCAAGAACCTGTGATGACATGGAAAACTGAAAAGTTCTACCATAAATAGTGATTCTCAGTTTCGAATTCTGCACCATAAACCTCTAGGTGATCAACTAACAAGTATAATCGAGGTATGCAATAAATGTAACTTAATATCTAGTGAAGTGTTATCCTTCTAATTCCTACACAGAAATAAGACATTCGTTTGGCTCACTTAAACCGAAGTTGTTATTTGTTTTTAGGTTACGCTCTTTTTATGTACTTTTCAAGGCATTGTTGCGTTAACTTAAGTCTGTATAATGGGGTTACTTCAACTAGGATGCTATAACGACTACTATTCACAGCAAAAGACTATCCCTATCCCCTTCGACAACCAATTCCCAGAAATATAGTTTACTATCGTCTTGTGTATAAGTACAATATTGGAGGAAACCACTGAATTTAGGAGGTAGTTTTAGACAAAGTATGGTTGTGTAGTCAGTGAAAAATGAATATCAAATAGTTACTCTGATATGTCATAGTTTTTAATGATACGCACTCTTATTCCTTTCTGAGATCGAGTTTTAGAGTTTCATGCCCCCTATCAATCACATAACCATAAATAATATGACACTTTAGAACTCCTAGGAATAATGGATTAGGAAGCATTTAACACGCGTCAGATCGATAGTCACCACCTTAATGTCAAATGTTTATGCTTCACTACCACTGCATCTCAAGATTCATATCAATGCAAACCAATTTATCAACAATAGCTCGATTAATTTTGTAGATGAATACAAAAATTCAACCAAGACTTTGTTTATAATTGCCTGTTGTAGGTGATCATGACAACAGTCAATGTTATGATTTTTTTAAAAAGGAAATTGCCCACTCTAACAAGTTCCGCCTTGACTTTTTAAAATGTTTCCACTCTAAGGAAAGATACTTCCACATATTTCGTTTTCATTCACTTGGAACTTTGTTGACTAGTTTTACAAGAACATATAACAAACAAATCACTGATGTTTTGATGGCGTAGTCAACACTTCATTATTCCCAATCGCTAATAATTACGTCGCTCATACCATATAACTGCATCAAAATTATGGTCTATATGATGGGTAACAGTGGAATCCTGGACACGCGTTTCGTCTTATTTGGGACTTGTCAGCTCGATGTACTTGCACCCCCAGTCAGTGATGTTGTAACCACTATGACTGGGACCCAGTACGCATAACTTCGAACGCCAAAGCGTTATCCACTATGCCACTGGGGCACGCGAGCAACCACTTGTGAGAAAGGTATCAGTTGTCTTTTTATTGATACCTTTAATTTCCCGTTACTACACTGCGTCAAAATTAGCTTATTTCTTAGATGTCACACAGTGCGACAGTATTATTTAGTGGATTACGTTTCGGGCACAATTTATTCTCCATAGTCGTATCTTGATATGAAATTACATTCTACCACGGTGCTCAAATTTCACTCCGATATTACTGTTTCCGAATTATCATTCTCTGCCCTATAAATAAGATCCTTCCTACCACTATTGAAGCAGTCACTTCTCAAATTTAGTCGCCTTTTTCCAGAGCAAGGGTACACAGTGTAAATCTTTGAAATCGCGAGAGATAACTGATGACAGATGACTACAAGACTAATTCCTCTCTCTATCTCTCTCACTCAGACACAGACATGGTGTGTGAAGTAAATCACTTCCGTTAATTGCATTATTGAACTTACGCATGCTCTTTTGCCATATGACACCTATAATCGGACTAAAGTTACACAATCTGCATTTTTCGTCTATTGATCATGGACATGTTATAGCGCAGACCTGAGTGGATAAACAGTTAGCTTTTAAAATCCGTACTACCATACACCAATGACAACACTGGTTATATGTTACATACTGAGGTTCTATCCTGAGTCACAGAAACTAAAGGTTAACATGTTCACACAATAAGTATAGCTTCTAACATATCTTGATTTATCACCTTATTTTCACCATACACTTAACAATTTTTGATGAAACCCATTTGTAAAATACTATAACAGATAGACAGGGTAGACTAAAATGTACCTTTTACTCGAAGTGTGTGACTGTGAAGGTCATCGCAGTAATTAAATCCACGGTAGCTAGGTAACCTGTTACTCATGTCAGTATGATACCAGAAGCGATAAATTGTTCCCAGTTAGCTGAAAATCTAGTTTTTACTAAAGGATGGAATACGAAATTCTTTCGCGGTTTTAACAATCCTGTAACCAGAGTTTTTAACATGTTCGCTAAATGTCAACGCTGAAGAAAGCTAAATAACTCCTGGAAAGCATTCTACTCACGTTTCAACAGACATTAAGATGGCATAATGGTATAATTCAGCGAGATTCGGATTAGGACGAGAAGATTTGGCTGGGAAGTCAATGTGATCACAATGGATAGACAGATATGTATCACACATTTACATGGCTACCAGGAAAAAACCTCTGATGATTGAAGTGAAATTAAAGCCTGGTTAGCGATTGGGTCTCGTAGCTCAATTAGCAGAGCATCCGGGCGGTAACTCGAGGGTCTTGGGTTCGAATCCTACAGCGACTCAGGTTTTCACTTAATCTTCATTCATTACCCAGTATCACGAATAATTTTGTCAATGAATAGAAAGAAGAAATCTTCGGTGCTATTGTCCTAATACAATGTGCTAGTACATCCAGTTTCGACTAAAGTTCACAGCTATCCCAATGCGAAATTCTGAGAAAAAACCCCACCATCTGAATTCCACTTTATGAACAAGTTTGTTATCAAATATCCTGAGTTTTTAATGAATTATCTGTATTCTTATTCTTACCGAAAGAAATATTATGCTCTATACGAAAAGCACACCCATTCTTTACTTACGTAATCAACGTCCCAATGATTTCGTTTGTCTACCCTTTCTTGTTCGCCTTCCCAATACATGATTTGCTTTATTTCAATAAAAAAATCCCTATTCTTAACAGTCCTTTGTTAGTGAGGTAAGAAAAATATTGAGGTGTTGACAGATTTACATCAAATGATTCCCTAGATTGCAGTCTATTTGATGACTGACAGTGGAATCGGGGATGCGCGTCTCGTCCTATTTGGGATTCGTTAGCTGGAGGTGTATCTGTACTCCAGTGATGGATGTTGTTCCCACTGAATATCAATAAACAGCAACTGATTCCACTTCAAACTACTCTCTCATTTTTAGAAAATGTACCTTCGACGGTTTTATCAATGATCCTTGTCAATTTCTAGTGATAAACTTTACTCCCAAATATGAAAGATAGTTACAGAAACTGTTTGAGTTTTATGACTCCTCTGTAGCTGTTTTTTGTGCACATAGAGGGTGACAGAAATCGGAAGAAAGACCTGGATTGCGGCAAAATTTGTATCATTAACTTTCTGGCTACCTGCCTGGCGCTCTGCCAGAAGGCCACAAGATGCAATTGGTGACATGACGTTTTACTAACTCAACCCTCTGCATTTTGGTAGCAAAGAAATTATTTTTAGTTCGACATTACATTTTTTGAACTGCAACTGGCTATGTTTTACAGCCGTACAGTAGAAAAAAATGCAGTATCGCATGGTGCATTGAACACTAAAAGAACAATCCAATCTTATCGGTATAAGCTAGTCGAACCAACAGGATCCATCAGTCAGTCACTTAAGATCATACAGCATATGTGATACATGCTCCAGCCATCACAGTGGATGAAGGTCTATAACCTCATCAACTGGCTTGAACGACTTACCTAAGACTCTGAGACAAAAAGAGCTGTGGTTCACTGATCAAGGCACTTGACTTATATCTGATGAGCCACGGGTTAAAAGTCCGTTTAAACTACCGAGGTTTGAGCAGCCAGGTGATATTAGCCCCCACAAGATAGGTGTAGCTCATTACCTATCACATGGACGTGCAAGTGGTTGTCATGTCTATTTCGATTTTTCTTCGCAAAAAGACTTTACTTCTCACCTCAGCATTGTTCACATGGTGAACCTACTAAAACAGGAAAATGTTACCAGAAAACAATGGTTGAATGTACAGATTCTTTTTGCTTCCGCCTACTTTCATAGACACAAAGTAAGGTAGAACAAATAACTGAGTGATACATCTAACCGTTAGTAGGTAGTAAGATATTTCATTGACACTGTAAGCACAACAGTTTGGCAGAAGTCAACTAGGTTTTTGTATTCAGACCAAGATTTAAGCGATCTATGATGCATCATAATCTGCGCGAATTTTCAAGTGAAGTGCCTAACAAATCCAGCCATTTCACTCCCTGTTGTCAGAGGAGATACTGGCGCACATCAGTCCTGAAATAACAATGTGCATTTGAAAGATGAGAAATTAATCCGGTCCCAAATACCTAGAAAACTCTGTATGTGATCCGTGGCTTAATGTAAAAGGGCTTCATTGTCTCCATACTCTAAATTTACTAAGGAATCTCAAGCGATGAAACCAAGCCCTGTAAAGTGAGATAGAAAGTAGGAGACTTCTGCTAAGACATACATGATAAAGTTGAAGAAAGACAGCGAGGCAATATATTTGGCGGATATTACTTGATGTAGACAACCCACAAAAAAGCTCACTATAGGCTACAACATGACTATGAGTATCAAAGTATAAAGCTTCAAGTACAGCGATGCGTCTAAAAGCATCTATTAATTCGGAAGAAGCTTCTGAGATCGGCTGACTCCTTTTAACCTTTTTACCAGGGCTAGTTATAATCTATAGTGATGATGGATAGTGGTTAGCAGTGGGATCGAGGAGTCGCATTTCGTTCTGCTGGATGTGCTTGCCTCCCGATGAGCGATGTTGTTCCCACTAATACTCGACAAGCAAAAACATCAGTTACAATCTTTAACGCTGTCTTTGCAGTAGGCTGGAAATGGCACGAATAACACTGCCGTGTTCTATCTTGCCAATGCATCTTTGAAAGCAACTTGGGGACCTTCATCATTGGGTTGAACTTCTAAAGGTCCATTCGTTGTTTTCCAACGTCCGTCTAAACAGTGACAAGTATGCTCTAACCAATGCTTGCTACATAAAAAAGTAACAGTCTTCCATCAGTCCTCTCCAACGGTAACGTAAAGAAGTATGTTTTGCGTTTACCGCTGAGTCGAGGGTGATAGTCATCATCTCAGTGTTTTTCTTTATGTCTGGAATTCGCGCTAGCTAGGAACAGGTGAATGCCGAGGCATAATTGTAACAGGTAATCACAACTATTTGTTCTTTCCAAAAATACTACCCAGGTGCTTTTGTGTCTAACTGAGTTCACCTACTTGTGCACTGAAGTCGTCTACAACGGCAAGAATATCTGAATGTTTGGTTATTAGTAGGAGACTATAGGATTTCGGTAAATGGGTATGCATAAATGAGGTTACCTGATATAACCGTGGTCTGATAGGGTGGGATATTATTGATACAAGGTCATGACTGAAGGTGAAATAAAAATCTGGGTCACAGTAAGATTCGAACCAGCGACTTCCAGGTTACTGACAAAGTCCTTTATCAACTGAGCTATGAGACCCAACTGCTCACCAGATTTTAATTTCACTTCAGTCATCAGAGGTTTCTCCCGGCTGCCATGTACACGCTATATATATATATATATATATATATATATAACTACACGTTTATCGTCCTAGTCCGAATCAAGCTGAACTAGCACCAAACCGGGAACTTGAAGGCCATTGGTTCGAATCCATATAATATCATGTAATCGAACAGCACGTATGTGACTGTTATCCATTCCAGAAGTGTATCTTCTGCCCTAGGGTTTGATGCTTTACCTACACTTGTGAGATTACAATAACTGAGGAGTATCTAGATATTCAAAAAGTGAAGTTTACGTAATCAACATGCTGCCCAAATGGAATGAATAAAAACACTTAGGTCTTGCACGTGTTTTACATACACAGTACACGTCTATGAGATAAAAAATGCCAGGGTTTTAGCTAGTGGGGTTTGCGGCTTCATTGAATGAAAAGTGTGAACACTAGAAACCTACAAAGGTAGTTCGGAGTGCAATTTCAGCAGACCAGGGACGCTATTCCAGGAATTCTAACATCCATAACAGGCTGCAGAACTAATAGTTGGGATGTCGCATAATTACTAGCAAAAAGAAGTGAAGATAAACTAACTTGGGTGCGTGATTCTAGAAGACAAGGTAAAAGAGTTACAAGCTGATCATACATGACCCTTTTATAGGCTTTTGAGTTGGATTTAACTGTGTCGTGTCTATAATCGAAGAAAAGACCTAACCATTGGTGCAGTAAGTCAACTGGGCAGGAAGGTTTTAACTACTTTCAGCACTGACCGCTTCTAATTCCTCCGTCTCCTAAAGTTAAGGTAATATCAACTTGAAATGGTGATTTTCTAGGGGAAACACTTCGCTGATGTTACATGCCATACACCCAACAGCCCATCTTCGGCCTTAGAGCCATACCATCTCAAAAGTTACTCACACTGAGAGTAACGAAGTTGAATCTTACAATTATCTAACAGTTGTGCCTAATTGGTTCAGGCAGTCAGCTTTCAATCTAAACGGTTGGCTACGGATTTGAACCCCACTCCACTTAACAACGTTCGGACAATCATCACACAATAGGTGTAGCTCAGTCTACTGCATGAGTGTGCATGTGGTTGCTGAGCACATTTCGATTTTTCTTCGACTGTTCAACAAACCATTTTGGCATTACAATGCCTCAAGAAACAATCATCTCAGTCAGAATAGCTTGTTCAGTTACTGCAAAATACAAGGTTGACTCATGTATCAATTCAGTAGCCCCTGGTTGTTGCTCTTAACAGTATATATATATATATATATATATATATATATATATATATATATATATATATATATATATATATATATATATATATATGGGATGTGTGTGAACATAACTCTAAAAGTGCGAGTAGATATCACGTGAGTTGTCTTTAAAGAAACAGCATAAAAAAGAAATATAGCGTAACTTGGAGCAGGTAAGAAAAATTCTATGGACATTCATCGACTGCTCAATAAGCTATACGGTTACGCATCAAGGGAAAACGTATTGTCCTGGCCCAATTAGTTTACATTTAGCAGAAATATTTATTCCAATAGGTCTTGATAAGTAATAGGACTACCAGACAGTGAAATAGTACAAAACTGCTAGCGTTTACCTCACGGCTAAATGTAAGTTTGAAGGCTTAGTTTCACATAAAAAGAAAAGTGTCTACCTAATACAAGTCAAAACCCGTAACAATTATGCGATAAAAATCGAAAGTCGAAATGCATTCTACAGTTACATGGACTTTCGTGAAGTAGGCAATGAGCGACATCTATTGTGTGAGGGCATTACCTAGCTGCCAGAACCTCGATAAGATAAACAGGTTTCAAATTCATGACCCATCAATTGGAAGCCGAGTGCCTAGACTAATGAACCACAGATCTCTGTTATGTTGAAACACTCTTATCTTACCTGGCTCTTATTGTCAAATACACATACTTATTTTCAATGTTCTTTCCCCGATCATTTTCATGTAATATCTGTACTATTGATTTCCAATCAACAGGTTGTTCAGTACTTGTGGTAACCTCAGTTCGATTAACCACTGTATAGGAATTAACGACGCTCAAGGCCGGTTTGGAAAGACTTTTGATTATAAATGGAATATTAACATTTCAATTATTTATAGGGTTTTGATAAAGAGCGAGCAAAAAAGTAATTTATGCTTCAGTTTAATGAGGTTTAAATGAAAACTACTTTGGATTCAGTTGAGAATGAAAAATACGATAACACTTTTACCATTAGATTTGACTTGATTTTGACATCCGCACACTTAAGTATGAAGCACGTCTGTATCCCCCCCCCCTAGTTCACTCAACAATCAAGCCAAAACAGAGATGATGGATAGCTGCTAGCAATGGAATCCACCATCAATATTAAATTGGAACATAGGCAATATCAAGGTATCTGCGTAAGAGCCCATATCCCAATAGAGACCGACCAATTCTGTCGAATCAACGACGTGATAATACAAGCAACAACATGAAACAGAGACGGTTTTAACTATTCTTCTCTCTATATCAAATCAATTCAGGAAAACAAAGTCGATTAAAAATGAGGCGACTAGCTATTCTCTATTCAAGCAACCTAGCCCTCTTTTGAAGAGTAACATATCCGAGTAAGTCGGTAGCAAAAACATAGTGTACTGGGGATGGAAACAATCTAGTGATCATATGCAGATACCAGATACAGGTTATGCGTTCAGTTTGCTAAATAATGGCTAACGACCTTATCAAAGTGTTTAAACTTTTGCAACGAAATTAGGGGTCGAACCCAAAACCTATTAGATAAGAGTCAAGTGCCGGAACCGTTCGGTTTCAACTAAACAAGTAAATTCGTCAAATGTAAGCTGATGGACCGTTTTCCAATCACTTAATATTTCAATAGGCAAGTAGAAATCCTGGAGATTTCAGGCTTTGACATGTTAATGGTCACTCGTATAATGATTTCTAGTCGTTTTCAATATTTCGACAAATTATTTCAAGCCAAAATTTTTACTAACATGACAATATCATAAATCTCATAATGAAAGATAGAAGAGTAACATACCTTGTTGTTCATTTAGATTGTTCTTTATAGCGGTCTCAAGTTGTGTTACATCATGTTGCAACTGTTGTATTTTACAGGCTGTTAGTTCAGAGTCAATTGAACTGTTAAAATCATCAGAAGCAATTCCACCGTCAACACTAGTATTAACGGAGCTGGATCCAGGTGGCGATGACGACAATATTATGGGTTGCGGATCGACAAGTTTAGGTTCTTCCATTGATTTATTAGCATTATCTCCGTTTATAGTGATAAATGATTGGATTTGAGGTTTTAATTGGATAGTATCATTCATCTAACAAGATGACAAAAAGACAATAAAAATAGGAATTATTCAACTTGTAAGAAAGTTATGAACTTTTTTCAAATTTATAACTTTTTATATGCTGCCTTTGTAATTCTGATACTATAGAAATGCTCTTCAATCTTCCAGATAAGATCTACGCTTCCCCACTAGACTTTGTTAATGATAGTGCCCAAAAGTGATGTCATAACTTTTTGTCTGTGATGAATAAATCTTTGACAGCATTTATACTGAATTAAACATTCATACAACTAATACACATGAATACTGAATTTAGCATATTATATGGAAACACAAAGAAGTATACATTCATACTACTATTAATCACAATAGTGATAGTAGCATTGCTACAGTCGACTGCCTTAGTATCCATTTTAAACTGTTGCTAAGGTAATGAAATATTGATAAGTTTGCTTCTTTTTTTTCTTTTTCTTCCTTATATACATTCACATATTTCCTTTCAATCCAATGAATGCTATTCATAATAATCCAAAGACAAACTTTGTTATTTCTTTTTCAGACATTACGGAATAGAAGAAAGGCTTTCATTACCATTCTCATTCATTCATATATCTATATGTCTTGTATACAGTTGTAGTTGTATAGATTAAACATCCGTATAGACAACAAAAGTGTGATGCAGACTTGTGTACACACTGAGCTTTGGTACACCGTCAAAACAATGAATTGTTTATTCGTATTCATATATATATATATATATATATATATATATATATATATATATATATATATATATATATATATATATACATGAATACATGACCTAAGCATAAATACCTACAATAATTTCGATTTTATGGTACGTTATTAAAACCATTGTTGTATTAATGTCAGGTAGAATTACACTCGATTATAACAGATGAACTTTATTAAATTATTACACATCGCTATGCTTCAAGGTATACAAAATCCATATTCTGTAATACTGTTTAAGTAAGTGTTAGCAGTAATGTGCATACGTGTCCATTCATTATACATCTACAATGATAATACCTACACTATAATGTTCACTAGTTTATATTATCAAAAATTGAAATTTTAATGTTATTGGTGGAAAATGATTTGTAAACTGACCACAGATAGAGAAATGAAATTCATGTGCAAACTGTGTTTGGTTCTTTGGACTATAAGTTATGAGTAGTGAACTCTTGACCTCCAGGTTACCTATCTGGCGTCGAATCAGTTCATAATTTTCCCCCAGTTAATGAACAGTTTACAAACCGTTATCATAAACAAACAAGTAACTGTATTAGGCCATGATATCTATGTACTATGCAATACGTAATGATACTATCTAGCTGATCAAGGAAAAGTAAAAAAAGATGGAGAAGAAACTAGTCACTAATTATCTGGAAATCAGTTAATAACATCGTTGAGGAACAACTCAACTGTGACCCGTTTAATACTGGTCGTAATCATTTTTGTAACTTACAAAATGTTAAGGCATTCTAGAAAAGCTCCCTGTAAGATAGGTTTTAACCAACCTCAGAGCAATATGCATACGAAGAAATGCAATATGTACTATTGCTAAGAAGAAATTTATTTGTCCATCAAAGGATAAACAAAGAGATGGTGATACAAAATATTGTAAAACTGAAATAGCTTCAATTGCGAACGCCTTTAAAGATATCTCTACAGGAGACAGTGCTACAATCCAGAACAATGTGACCGATGTTCATCTCCCACTTTTCAATGGGTATCTAATGAGAATCAGAGAAAGAATTTACAGCATACACCATCAGTATCACACCAGCTGAACTTCCTTGCCAAACAGAAAGTGGGAAAGAATGCATTTAATCCCACTTTTTTTGACTACTGATTCAGAAGTTTTAAAGCATAAGCAAGAACCCTAAATAAACATAACACCTGATCATATCAAGACGTTGAAAAGTAAATACATTCATAGATAATATGGTATACTAAATCAGGCTTAATACCGTTACTAAGTGGTCATAAAACACCATAGAAGCGAAATTAGATGGTAGGTGAAGTGTATACTTCATCTGCTAGACTGCGATCACCATGATAAACACAAAAAACCGATTGTTTAGTAGTTAAAGTGCTGTTTAGCAACAAAACACCAAAAACAATGCAGTTCAACGTGGTGCAATGTTTGTAATGGGCTATGCACCATATTTATTGTGTTAAGACTTCAGATACTACTCAGCTGCCCAAGCTGAAGTAGTAGTAGCGCGGACTATAACTGGGAACCGTTGTTTGGGAGTCAAAAGTTTGTTAATAAACTTATCAGAATATAATAGTTTCAAGAAAGTAATGAGCAAGTAGTCATAATTAACACTAAGGTATCTGTTGATAAGTGACTTAGAAAGCCTTTGTATCCATCAAAAAAAATGAAGACATGAAACATATAATTGCGTTCAGTTCAACAGACACTCGATTGTTAAATGCCTCATAACAGGATTCATACTTCACTGGATATACATAAGTTTTGTTTTTAAAGTTCGATTCAGTCTATCTTGCAAGACATTATGTAGTTAATGGGATGTATTCTTTCTTACTTTTTATATGGAATTACACCTCTTAGAACAATCTTAACATGAGAGTGATAAGTGAATTGTAAATAACATTTCAGTTGGGATTAGATTTTCAGTAGTAAACTAGTAAATTACTACTCCAGTACTATGCCACTGAAACAAGGAAAACTCGATAACTAAAGAACAATTACTAATGTTACCGCCTTCTTTTTGGCATCCAACTGCTCAATGTTTATGCTGCAATGAATAAATGTTTACCTCTAACAATAACTAGTCAATAAAATTGCACTTCGATACATTCTCTTTATAATATTCTAGAATTTGTAATTTTGGCACCACTCTATTCCAATTTCTTTTTTTTATATAAAGCGTGTTTAAACTTGAAGAAAAACCTAAGCAAAGTATGCTAATATAAAGACAAATAGTATTCTTGTTTAATAAGTTATACTATTTCTCTTCGTCTAATTCCGTTAAAACGGTATGTATTACTGTAAAGCAATCTTTGTCTTTAACTACTTCGATTTGCTTAATATATACATATGTGAGTGTGTAATAATCAAATTTGTCGTTTGAATTGCACATTTCTTTAACAGTGTTCTAAGTTCCAGTGTGGTCAAGTCATAGGAAGAGAAAGAGTTGAACATGATCAGCATCTTGCTGGTATAGATTATATGCGGTAAACGTGATCAACTATCCACTGATGAGAGCTTAAGACTTGAATAAATTGTCCAAATGATATTTGGTAGTTGATGCCCAGATATAACTTCTAGTGTGATAATATATCTTACCGTAGAAACTAAGTATACATTACACGAGTGGATTACTTTCCAAAGAGTTAGTAAAAATCGTTGATGAATTTAAATGATAATAGACAGAAACAAATTTCTGATACCTAATGCTTCAATATCTTGGATTAGCAGAGTAGACAAGTGGACACGAATGAAGCTAGATGTAACGATTCAAGTAAAGGAAATAAAACAGTTTAGGCTTAAAATCTGTATCATATGAGACCACTGGAATATGTAGTGTATTTTTGGTTATAACTTACCCTAAAGTGATTAGATAAAGATACTGCATTTACTCTTGTATTGATTTTCAACGGTTTAACTCATTCGTTATACTAAAGGCCTTTTGGTCGCGTGATTTTATTGTTCACTAACAAGCAACTCACGAATTATGTACAGGTTCATGCCATTACAATGAATCATACCTATTGTATGGGACCTGATCATATTACCTAGTTGTCCAGACTTCCGTAGGTCAAAAAAGATCAGAGTCTATCACCCACTGGTTGAAAGTAAAGTTTACAGACGAATAAGTCACACCTCCTTACTATATACAGAACAACGAGTGTTAACCCTTATACATCCTCTGACGATTAGAAAACCAGTTACCTCACACAATTAGTCCAGTTTAGTATACTCATCCACAAGTGGTTACTGAGTTGTGTGAATATTATTTTTTTCTTATAGTTAAGACCTACTTGACACTAGAAATGGAGAGTTAAAATTCTTAGGTGATACGGCCGGAAGTTGATCTCATCTGTTCACTAAAATCAGCTGTTCATTTTCTTCGGATAAGTAATATCCCGTTGTCCATACATACAGTTTATGACAGATCAACTTTCCCTGTCTAAATTGTTAGGATGTGCGTGTGTATATTAAATCAAACCATCCTACAACTTATCCCAGCCAGTCAAAATAACTCCTTTAGACAATACTGTCTACCGACTGCCTATGAACACATAGATAGTAGGTTGATTCAGTTTCATATGGAAATTATACGTCATTTATTATCATAACTTCTAATATAACAAATAAACTACGGTGTCAATTATCGCCTACTAAGTTTACTAAAGTATATGTTTTTCATTTCAGATCACAAACTAACCCCAATATATTACTCTGGTTATAGAAGGAATACGATCAAAAACATAAGACTGATCTGCGAAGTTTCCAGCCAGTAACTTCAGTACTGTAGGGAGACTGTAAATTTGCTAATTGTGATTCTCCAGACAATGGATGATACAACTCAAAACTGATTACAGTAACGAAAATGTATCCATGTAAAACTAAATTCAATGGTGATTACTGGCAGTCTAAGTAAACGGGTAGTGCGCTGTTTTCTTTGAAGTTGATACATGTTTGCAGAACAATTTAAAAGTATTTAATTATCATATGATCCACCTTCCGATTTCAAAATTGAACGAAAGAAACACGAATAATACATCTTATTTAATGAACTCTTTGTTGTGTCTCATCTTTCTAAATCTATGCAGCGCCATGTATGGTTTTAAATCCCAAGCAGTAACTTCAGTTAAAAACTTAAGCCATTCAAATATTTATATTGACGTGTAATAAAGAAATTTTGCAGCTCATATGTATTCCTCCGGTGGTAATGGTGCTTATATAATCACCCAGTCTAAAGTTAACATATTTGATGCTTACTTTACGTTAATAAAAATAAATTTGGTATGAGGGCAGTAAATTTTTTTGGAAGCTATGTAACCTTTGCTTTTAGTTCTACTGTTAAAGATATTCATGAGTTTAAAAAATCTGGGAAATGGTTTGAGAAAGTAATCCTGAATTTTAGAATAATTTAGGTGATTGTAAGCTTCTATAGCATTGGTTTTAAAGACGGAAGGGTATTATAATGAAATTAAAAACAACTAATACACAAAATAAATAATTTCATTTACTTCATGGTTGTAATGCACGGATAACTGATTGTGAGGACGAGATGTTGAAGAATAAAAGGTTTTGGTGTGCGGTATTTCAGGCGTTGCGTTTGTTATTGTCATGATAGGAGTTGCGCTAAAAAGGATATAAAGATTAAATTACTAATTATATTTAATACTTACGCAGAAAACCACGGATACTTAGATAAAATCATCAGAAAGGGGTATATACCCCCTACTGAAAACAATATCAAAAGCTGCAAAGATCAAAACTTACTGTTTATTTGAAATGATTTCGTAGCTTTATTGCAGTCAAATAACATTAAACACAGTAACATATACAACACAAGACCTGGCATCATTGTATACAGATTCAACATACTAAAATTAGTATCCGAACGGGTAAAGTCAGATAGTCACCTACAGGCTTAAGAACTTCAAGATACTGGAAAATGTGGAATAACACTCATTTTCCTTTTAAAACATCCAAAGAAAATGCCTCAAGAAAACAGTAAGCAATGAAACTTAAGAATTAAAACCTTTGCTTAAATTACATCAGAAGTGCTACAAACAATAAGGAAAACGGAACTCACCAAACACAGGTTTTTAAAACAGGTTGTTGGTCACGTGTATAAATTCATGGTTAAGGATATTATGGAGCTCTTGAAACTAATATGGTTGCAGCTGGATATAAACTCATAATGTAAAGGTGAACAGATTACTGCTTACTTCAGCAAGCTAACTCTACAATAAGTTTTCTATGGTTCCATGCAACGAATAACAAAGCTAAAATAGACATACACTATCATTTCTGTATGGCAACAAGAAAACCTTGACCAACATCAGCTATATGCTTTATCCAATAATGAGTACTTACATGTGCTAGGCATGCAAATATAAGTGAAAAATAGGGATTCTCTTCAATAAACTGAATCTAATAGTATAACATAGTGCATGAAAAAAACGTATCCAAACAGATGAACTGGCTGTAACATGTGCTGGGAGTGCACAACTATTGTCTTTACTTCCGCATTATGCTATCTGAAATGGAATTAGGTTGAAAAAATCTAAAAGTAATAAAAACAAAATACGACACGAGATCCCGAACTGTTGGTCTTAGTTATCTAGACTTCCTGGTTGAAGTCCACGAGACAACGACAATCAGTGACTGGAAACTTTACATGGTATGCCGAAAATCGATCGGAGTGGTAAGGATGCATTAATGACTTACTCTTATCCAGATTAAATATTCAAATATCGTTCTTCATTCCCTCCTTTTTCTTTGTGTTATAAGCTTGATGATACTATGTTCACGACGTTTGCATTTTTTTAAATCTTCTTTGTTGTTACCATATACCTAGGTAAGCTGATGTGATGTGAGGAAACATGAGCTACTATGCAGTAATACCATGATTGATACTGACAACTTCTAACTAAACCCTAGCGCCTTTCATTTGCACATCATATTGACGATACTGAAATGTAATACAATATTCTGCATATCAGTAGTTTTTGAAGAAACGGAAAGCTAAATGTATCTTTTAAGTCCTAAGGGTCTAGATACTATGTTGGCTACTGTCAGATATTGACCAAACAAATCGATGGAAACTTATCGAAAGTAAAATAAAAGAATACGTTGAACAATGGTTAGGTATACTCTAAACTGTGATATTCGATCTTGCTTTCATAATCAAGCTTAGGGATGTCAGCAGCTCTAACTTTATGAAGTGAGGCATGCTTAGTGCGAATGACCATCAGCCCTGATGATACCACCAAGCCTAGTGATGAAACCACGACCAAATACCGAAGCTTAGAGAATACCGCCCAACTGTCACTCTACATCTGAGCTGCAAACCTTTATTGTCTGATAAGATATTTGAGTATGATTTCAAGTCAGAAGTAAAATACTGTTACAATTTACACACTAAACAGAACATCAAGTAACATCTATGAAATATTTCGAAAATAAATAAAACATTAATATTTCAGTCACTGAAATTTCCACATTAAAATAGACCTACCAAGCTAAAGAAACTGCACATGAAGGTAACTTGGAGTTCGACTTTTGCCCCGAAAATACACTTGAATCCAAACTTGGTTTGACATCGTTTATAGTTTCCTCATTGCTAAGATTATGCGAAACAGCACAGTCCATATGGTACTCGACAGGTACCTGTATTTCATAACCTGAAAGACTACTGCTTCGTGTAGAATCACCTGTCTCAAACAAATCCCATACAACGTTTTGACCAGCAGGCTTCTGATCATCTCTATGCGATTTTTCCTTCGAATTAAATGAATAATTTGTCACAGACGGTATTTCTGTTTTTGGTTCACCCACTGAAATCGTTGAGGGACTGACTTTGTCATGACACTGGTTACGGTGCTTGGAATGTGAAACATGTCTGAACAAACTCTTCAAGCCTAAAGAAAATATAGTAATAAGTGAGAACATACATCACAGAATTAGAATAACTCCCTCACTGTGACAAAAGATATAGACAGATAACTAGAAAGACAGTAATACACCGACATCATGACAGATCAACCTTCAAACAATGGGTGGTAACGAGCTCAAACGTAGCTGCGCTTATCAAGGTTTCGTCATCTGAGTGACAGTAGTAGTGGTATTGTCATAACCACTGTATTGGTATTATTAGCCTTAGAATAGTAAGTTTGGATAATAGTCTGGTGCATGAACAGCGACGTGGTTGCTGAGCTACCTTTTAGGTCTTTTAGGCTTTCATCTTGAATAAAAAGCATCAGCAGTTTCCATCAATATAAGTCTACCGTTACTGCTTTCACTTAACCTTGATAACGTAATGCTGATAGCACTAACTACATCTGTTTTTTTAGAGACTTCTCCGACTTTTAAATTCGGTGATCAGTATACATATGAGGCTAATGGCACGCAATGTTAAACACAAAACGCCGAATTAATCCAACACACTCCAAAGTAGCATAGAAGGAAGGAAACAGAAGATAAAAAACCAAATAAATGCTATAGATCGATGAAGATAAGTGTTCCAACTTTCGCAGATAATAAAAAGTGAATATATCCTCACGATTTCAATCGACTATGAGTCACGTCACTAAAAACCTCTAATTATTAGTTCTTAGCATGTCGATGACATTACTTACTTAGGTAGCCGACGTGTAAGTACACAAACCAATGATTCACAACTGGTAGCAGGTGTAGTACGCAAACGAATGAGCCTTAAGTTGACACTAGTCGGCATGTAATGCAAATATGAGATGATGCCCAGTTAAGTGATTCGCCAGATAGTTTCGAAAATGTTGTAACTGGTCTATTGGTCACTCCTCCGTTCGAAAAAGACACAAGTTCTATATTTATTAGGCTATTTTTCTTTCTTACTTATCAGTTCTGTGACGTGAAAGCTTGAGCATTTTTACAAGACCCGAAATAACTGCTTTTTTGCCTGACTTTTTGATAACGAGTTCATGACAAGATTACATCTGAGTTCATGCGCAGTATTACTCGTCAAGGATACTGTTTCCCGAAACTTTTATAAATTACTTATGATTTTAAGAGGTTGTTTCGTTGAAAGCACTTAAAATAATCAGATTATTATATTGCATTGAATAACAGTCACTAACAGCCAATCGGAGATGTGGCTTATGGGCTTAGGGAGACGACTTCCAACCGATGGGTAACAGGTTCAAACCCAGCCTCGACTACCGAGGTTTGGGTGGCTAAACAGTATCATCTTCCCTCACAAAATATATATATGGCTTTTTGCTAACTCCAGGAATGTGCACAGATTTGCTGAGTGCGTTTCGTTTAACTTTTTTTCTGATCCATTTTGTGCTATAGTTTATTGGTCTACACTAGAAAATGATCGATCTGAAACTCGCTTTGATTTCTTTGGTCTGAGTTACCACGTATCATCATGTCTTCAAATTAATAAAAGAATACAACAATATCAAAAGGTGGAGCTAAAGAACACAAAATGACATGGATTAGGAAAAGTCACAATAGTTTGTGTTCCTTTCGCCTGAAAATTCTTATTTAACTGAGTGACTAATTTAATTGACTGAATTTGACCTGAGATTCGTTTTTTAACATAAAATTAATCTGTTTTACGAGGAATAGGTTTTTGAAAGGCTATACATTTTTCGTCAACTTGTCAGTACAAAGAAAGGATTGTTTCTGCGACAGTCACACCTTGCGTGATTTCTCAACCTTAATAACTTTCATTATCCACCAGACACAACCATCGGATGATCCTAACCACCAACTATATTTCGCACGAATTTTATCAGTCAGAAGTAATGAGACGAAGTAACGCTTATACTTCCACTACTACAGTTTTAGTATTGAGTGGTCAGGTGATCATTATGCTAATACAGAAGATTCAGATAGCCTGAGACATCTTCAAATATTTTTACTCATGGATGGTGTTTTAGCAACTTTAATCCATGAGTCTACGAGATTTCCCAATTAAAAGTAGTGTTATGAATAAAATTGAATACTCAAAATCAGACACATGATAACAACCTGTTGCTATCAAATGGGAAATATAATACAGACGGTGGCTGACCTTTCTTTTTTGATGGCTTTTCCTTCTCTTCACATGCTTCAAAAGAATCTGGGAAGATGCCCGAACCTGAATTGTTTCTACTGGCCAGCTTTAGAAACGTAAGGTGTCATAAACAGCGCTTACACTATTGCAAATGTCCAACGCCTATAATGAGAGTTCAAATAGTTAAATGGCTACTGACAGAGTAGAATAAACTTTAATTTGATTGGCTCTCGCATCAATAACTCGTGCACTACTGACTTTTGTTGTAGTCAACCTGTGTAAATGTAAAGAAAGAGAGGAATTTGTGGTTTAAAGGTGAAAATCCACATAGTTCTGAATAAGTTCCCACCCACATCCTAAGTAAGTATGAACTCGGAGTTTACAAAAATGGGACGCATTTGCTCAGACCATTTCTGCAGTAAACGGTTCCCAGGATCTGATAATTCTCTCTTGGTCTTCTATACTCTACAGGATACAGACCAAGCGTAACCAGTCGTTCCTATGTTTTAGGGTAAAGTCATGGAGCCGTTATAGTCGACTGACTCTGGATACCATCTAGGATCTTTATTCTTTCTCCAGAGAGGGCGGGAAGACTGAATCCCCAAGTTCCAGACGAGGCTATTTGAAGCTGTTGAAAATTTGGCGAAAACATGTGTAATCTAACTGTCCGAAAATTCGTCCGAGTTCTTACCGTCACATTTCCTCAAAATGGGTTTCGATCACGGGTGGCATGGGGTTTTAAGTCTTGAGGGACTAAAACGCTCAAGTTTCCTGCCGTCTGTGACGCTCAGTGTTCCAAGCTGTTGATGCTACATGCATGACACGCATCACGTCTTAAATGTTCAACCTCACATCTTTCAAATTTGAATGCAGACACTTTATTCGTTGCTAGTTTTGGAGTTAGTTTAAGTCTAGCAGTAAAGAAACACCATCTTCCTGACTTCTGATTTCCTGCTATCCACCGAAGGAAGGGTTTTAGAAGAAACCTGTTGAGGTAAGTCGTTAATACATATTAAAAGGGAAATAGGCACCAGTGCTGAACTCCGGAACTACACCAGAACATTTTCTTTCTTTAGACGTAGGAAAACTTACCTGAACTCTAAATGAACATCTTCGTAGATATAAGGACAGCCAGTCGATGAATGATGGTCTCAGCGCAATAGGCTTTGGGCTATCAAGAAGCCAGTTGTTATTAACACCATCAAACGTTTCAGAAAGATTTAGATAAAGTGCATTTATCCCAACTCCGTGGTTCATAATACTAACCCACTTATCCACCATAGTGAGCAGGTCAGAAATGCAGGGGTTTCATTCCCGAATTTCAGCTTTTCCGCCGGTTTCGGATTTTTGCAAATCTGGCTACGACCTTGTTGCAATTTTCGATTGGAAATTGAGGTATCTGTACATATACGCTATCCGTTGCTATCATCATCTTCGCAACTGTTGGTTGCATACCGCTGGTTTTCATCAATACGTGAATTTTGGAATGGTAGGCTGGACTTCAGTGCACTTCGCTATTCCACGGGAAGTTGCAGCATTTCGCCGCTTTATTTACCAGTTTACTGCCGAAACTGAGGTTGCGAGACAATTAATAACTTTAATCTGTGCTGCAGCTAAGTTTCTGATCTTGCTATTCTATCGTTAGGCAGTAAATCTTTATTGTTGTTTGATGTCTGTACCTTGTATTCCTAACATGTGTAACGTTATCACTGCAGCAACTAAAACAATCTATAAAGCTAAGACACCAAAGGTTTCGAACCTTTCCCGAGGGTCTGAAAACAGTTTAGTTACTAACGGTTTTTCCGTCAGACGCCATGACTGACGTATATAATGATGTCTGTGCGAACAAGTGTGGTATAAATGAATAAATATTTTATTCTCAAATCATGAGTTTGACAAGAGAGAAGCCAGTTTACAGGCATCATCAAATTGATGATGGTGAAGAAATCTCCAGTAGTTGAACTGTCGTAAATGATTTGGAAGGTGAGGCATCAGGGTTTATCATGATATCAAAAGTGACCGCAGGTTATGAAAAGAACAGAAAAATATCGCTTCAGAGTACATTCGAATTGTTTATGAGTTTCGGTTTTCTCCACTCACCACTCTTTTTTCACAATAAAGTGTTACCAAAATCCTACAATATTCAACGTTTTCGTTACGCGTAACCCAGGTTGTTAACCTGGCGGTATGGTTCCGTGTTTCGTCAGACAAACGTTTATTTCAACGTCAGTTCACTTGTTTATAGTATCATTGGCCTAAAAAATTCACTTCATCGATTTCAGGTAACAGTAAGTGTTAGCACGACCATATAATCCATGTAAATATATAAGTCATCGCACTTCCCACTAGTGGTGTGACCTTACTCAGAATTAGTTGTTCTTGTACAAAGAAATGAACATTTGAAGGACCATCATTAAATAGTGATGGAGTTTTGCACAGAATTCGCATTAAAGTATGTAATGCTGTATACAGCATTATCAAGGAGATATGTTGACTGTCAATTGTCTTCCACAAAAAGGAGTCAAACTAGGTGAAATACTGGGGAAGTTTGTTCACCAGCATGTCTCACTTTGAGTTACTAGGTGATTTTATTTCTTAGACTTGGTTGTCGAGATTTTCGCTGACATTATGACAGTCCAGAAGCCTTAGATCGTTTACTGTAGTTGGGTTTTCGTACATGGCTGCATCTGGGATGTTTGTAACTGGGCAAGTTTGCCGTGGAACTGAACCCCACAACAGACTTATGAGTGGATGGTCCTACCAGTTGTGGAGCATCAGTGAACTTTGTAGCCGCTGAAGAAGGCAAACGGCTGACTTCACACAACTCCATCGTCCTAGGTGTCCCTGGTAGTTTTTCGTTAAAAAGTATTAAAATTGATCTCCTCCAACCCTGTGGTTTGCATGAATCCGTTTGCACAGCCCGACGTCTTAGGAAGAAGGCTAGTAAATACCCCTGTCCAATATTATATCAGTTCAATTCACTCCTTGATGCGAGACACTTCTGTGGCTCACAGAAATCTGTAAGACTTAAAATTCTGCGTGAATGTTGGGGTACTTCCATCTCTTACCTCCTGTCAAAGACCCACATACGGTTCGAAATCTTACGAGGCCACTCCGGAAACTGGCACCTGGGTGTCACCTCACTGCACCAGACAACACTGTAAGTCCAGATCAAAAAGTCCCGGCCGAGCTTGTTGTTGAAAGTACATCGGCTGCTACCGTTTCACCATCCAATATGGTAGTAGCCACTGGAACTGAAGGCGAAATCTCCGCCGGTTATTCGCAAACGGTGTTGATGTGGATGGCAACGGTTATGCTGTAGCCGATATGCACCTGATCTCCCTGAAGTTACAGATGAAACCTGCACCTACCAGATGCAACCACGCTGATAAGCCTATACCCCCCTTGAGACTCACATACGACGACGACCTCCAGGTGTATTGACAATGCACAGTCTCAGAGTGCAATGTTTTGGAGATCTAAACCCAAAATTCCTAGTTCGGGTTTACCGCCAAAGCTTGTGGCGCAAACGCGACTTGGTCATCATCGAACTAATTACTTTCAGTCTGTCAAACTTAGTGGTTCTAACGCCATTCGGGGAGTAATCCCGTTTCCCTGAGCAGACATATTAATGGCGTCCACCGGTATGACACCAGACGCTACGGCACCATTAACCAACAGAAGGGTAGGACTCATACACCAAGGTGGTAAAAAGAAAGGGTACATACGTAGGAATGTTCACAACGCAAATGCCTCCAACGGTCAAGAGGACAAGGGCTATAGGAGAAATATTAGGTTTTCTTCCCACAACCATCTGCACAACATTCAGCCCCAATTTATTCTCACCTCGGTACAATATCACCTAACTAAAAGCCTGCCGTTCAGATGAAGCCTGGCATACTGAAGTGAAACTGCGGATTTACATGGCTCATTTTCACCGACATCCATACCCTGAGTTCTTACTGAAAATCCAAATTTTCACGAACTACAAAAATTATTAGCGGCTTTTGTAGTTCAAATGGTGACGCTTCCGAGCAGGCTGCTTTCAACCCTAACTCACAACCGCAACAGTAGCAGGGAGTACGTTACACCAGCCTGTCATCCCTCGGCTCACATACAGTAGGTCAACGCCTAACATAATAAAGGATAAAGTTAGTACTAGCCAAAGAATATCTGGCTCCCCTAGTGTGTCCCCGAAATCAAATTCTACCCCATGTATCTCAGAACTACAGTTCAACCTGACCTACCAGAATAGGCTTTTCGAAAGCAGGTCTAAGTACTGCTGCCCATCCAATTCGTTGACCTTCTGCTTGATTAACACCCGTTCCATAGGCAAGAAAATAAGCGAGATCACTACGTTGTCGAGTATGTCTGACCCCTGCCTAATACTTACTCCTGAAGCTTGGTGTACTTCAGATCCTCCCGACAGTGATGTCCCTGCCGACAATTATACTGTATTTAGGGGAGGTGGTCATAGTGGTAGAAGTGGCGGTGGCTTCATTTATATCAGGTCCAACACTGCTGCGACAAAATGCAGTACTCTAGAACTCAATTTGCTCAGTGACTCAATGTGAGTTGTGGCAAAGTTTCCAAATGCTACAACTATCCTCTTAGGGAGTGTCTGGAATCCCCCCACTCTGCTGTAAGTTATGATGACAGGCTTACAGAAGCCTTCACCTATGTAACAACACTACCCTACTCCACGAAACTTATGTGCGAAGACTTCAGTATGCCTGACATCAAATGGTAGTCACCCACTTCCCCTGCGCGGTCTGATTATTTTATTAGTGTGTTAGATTCTGGGGATGGCGCAAACATGTAATGCAACTAACTAAACACAATAGCATACTTGACCTCGTTTTCACCAATGGTTATTGCCTTTTACTCTTCAAATAGGTCCAGAATACCCAGGAAGCGATCACAGAGTAGTGTTTGGTGACTTCTGACTATCTCCCAATGCTATGTCAGCTCCCAGAGCAAAAGCAGCCACAATTGGACGACATAAAAGTGCTATCCGGGAAAAGATGCAGTACATGTTGCGATGCTTGGACTGGGGTTCTTATTTCCTCGGTAGCCCAAGCCATGAACTAAGCGATATCTTCTGTA